GAAATAAAAAGTATATATAAATTACAAATATATATATCAAAAGTTTTATAAAACAAGATGTGATAACATTATTTTATTTCATCAAATAATAGACAAAAACATGCAAACAAATAAAATTACCGAAAGGTCAAAATAATAATTTTGAAGATAATTATGGGACGAAAAGAGTATTTACTAAAATAAATAAGTCTTGTAACATCTTAATTTATAAAACATTTGATGCAATTTTATATTATATAATTTATATTTTAATTTCTTTACTAATTTGTAAATAAAATAATTTTTAAAAAATATGAGATTTGGTCATTGTTCGAAGTGATATACGATATTTAGGACAAAGTAAGTACGGAGTAATTTATTTAGACCTAAGGTTGGCCAAGTGGTCGGCACTGCGGGCCTAACAATTGAAACTAAAGTCTAACCCACATAGATACCCGCAAACTTTGAGTCGATTCGACCTGCCTTATTTTTTAAAATTTTATACTACATTGGTCTCATTATATTTGTCTAATTTAGTTTTTGAATCAAAGTAGATAAACTTTAGAACTTGATTAAATAAAAGATGTAATGTGCAGAGTATATTTTAAAAAAACTCATTAGATTTATCTTGTTGATTATTTTCAAAAATTGATTTCATTGTATTAATATGTAATACAATATTAACTTAACATATGATGATTATAGTTCATCCAATTTGACTTAAAAAATTAAATCGTTGTAAACCACAACGCCAACTTCTCATTGAGACGGAAGGTTTAGTATTTATAGAATGTTTCATATAGAGAATGATAATTAGAGTTATTAGACCATCTAACAAAGCGGCGGGGTTCCCATGACAATGAAACCTTATGTCATGGGATGACTCTAAGCGCTCCGGTATCCCATTCATAAAATTGACGATTCCTACCCCTTAATCTCCCAGTAAACCCCCACCCACCCCGATCCGAACACACCCCCACCCCCCTTCAATTGCACCCCCAAGTTAATTTTGACTTTGGAGTCGAGTTTTGACTCCAAAATCAAAATTGTTTTGACTCTAAAATCAAAATTAACTTGGAGGTGCAATTGAAGGGAGTGGGAGGTGTTTGGATCGGGGTGGGTGGAGGGTTTACCAGGGGGTTAAGAGGGTAGGAACTGTCAATTTTACGAACAGAGCACAAGAGCGCCTTTGGGTTAACTTAATCGTTGCCAAATAGAACGATATGAAAATCATGGGGCATTTAAAAGTCACTGTTGAATAACATTGTTTCAAAGTTCAACATAGGGGAATGGTTGAAAACATGGCATTCCTTGCTCACAAGTGGACAATGTATTCTACTCATAAGAGTGGTTTTTTGACCCAAAAAACAAAAAGTTAAAAACCACTGCCCCAAAGGAACAATTTTTGCCAAAACAAAACACATCCTCGAGCTAATAAAGATGCAACATCCTACACTAATGCATCAGATTAAGCTGTTCAAAGTCACGGAAAAAAAACGTACGCATACCAAAAGATTACTTGTAACCTGAATAATATAGGAGTGGACGAAAGTCGCCTTTCATTCAAAAATAAAAATCACTCGATACGTTCTTGGAGGAGAATTCGAGCTTCGCGTCAATCCTTTCCTTATCAAAGAAATGTGCAAGCTGTGTATCATCTGCATGTGCTCCTTTGTTCTCGACACAGACTTTGGCAAGGGAGTGCCTCCAACAGTTTACAGACAGAGATTTCCAGCAACCGCATTTCTTCTTGCCCCTCATTGGCTTTTCATATGTGAACTGGAAAGGCAGAAACAAAAGCATTTCAACACAACTGTGACCTCACACCCATACAGTCAGGGGTACAGATGTCATATTTCATACCAAATTTTTACATACCATTTATGTTTATTGTTCAAGATTTTTGCACACATAAGTCGCCCAAACATATAACTTCCCACCAAGGTAAGATAAGGATCAAAAGTAGGGAATAGAAAATGATGTTTTGCAGGATATGAGTACCTCGAGTTTCTTGAGAGCAGAAAACTCAGTACCGCATATGGATATAGCTTCTGGATGAGGAGCAAGCCACAAAAGAGACTCGATTACTTGAACAGGATGCTTCAATCTTGATAGACGGAACCCTACATCCAGATGTTTGACAGCATGCAGGGGAGGGCGGCAGTTCATCCTCACAGACTCCGGAATAATCAAATCCTTAGTTAAAACAATGGCAAACATATAACCATTATATTAAAAAAAATAACTGAATAATTGATACTACGCACATAAAAATGTAAGGTAGAGCCAAATAATGTTAACATGACTTGCACACACACAAACAGAGTCAAGCTTTAAGGTGTGTTTGGTAGTAGGGGTTGAGAGGTGAGAGAATTAGAAATTTAATTAATAAATAGCTTTTATATTAATTTAACTTGCTTGATAATTGAATTGTTTTTCCAAAAGTATGTATTACTCCATATGAGTTATAGAGTGATATATTAAGGACTACCTATTTTTCTTTTATCTGAAAGAAGATTCTGTCAAAATGTCAAATATTTCAATTAATCAGCAAAAGATAAATTGTATCAAACCAAATGAGGGGAATCCACTCCTCCCCTTCACCTCCAAAAGCGGAAAACCAAAAGTGAACTCCAATCCCATCCCCTACCCTAGAAACCAAGCACACCCTTAATGAAAGAAAATCCATTGGTTACCTTTTCATAAGCCACCTCAAGCGACAGATTTTCAGTGCAGCTTAGCTTTGCAAGAAATTTAAGTAGTCCATTAAACCACACTTCTCCTCGATAGTCGGGTTTCAAGAAAACGGAAGCATTTTTCAACTTGAGAGTTGGACCCTTGCACACAAAGGTTAAAGGATCTTCTCCATTATAGAAGAAGGATTTGAGGTTGGGAGTATCAATTCTAACCTTTTGCAAATCCCTACACTCATCAAAAACCAAATCGACTAGATTCTGACTCGAAATGTCAACATGATACACATTAGGACAGTAATTCAATGCCAGGCGTTCGAGAATTGGATGATTGTTCAGAATGTCATTCAAGTCATCGTCATCCAATTGAGAGCCATGTAGGTCCAGCAATTTCAGTTTCTTACAAGCCCCAAAATCAAATTCAGGATCATACTCGCCATAAGAAACATAACTAAACTCACAAAGATTGGGTGCCTCAATCTGAATCACTTCCACTTCTCCCCCACAGTGCTCAAAACACACTTTCTCAAGTTTAGAAAGATCGAAGATTTCTAGTCTCGTCAATCCCTCACAATCTTTCAGAGATAATTTTTCAAGGTTAGGGCAACTAGCAAGCAAACTCACCATGAACGCATCATCTGCATTGACATATTCAAGGCGTATTTCTCGCAGACAAGGTAATTGGCCATCCACCATACATGATGAGCTCAACTCACAACTCGCCAATTTCAATTTTTGGATGACTCCGGAGACAAGAACACTCTTGGGAAAATTATATCTAGCATCTCTCCGTGAATGAATTTGCAATCCCAACTCTTTCACGCCGCGTCTAACAGCACCAGCAAGCCAACCATCCAAACGAGATTTCAACTCTAAATCAAAACCCAGAATGTATATATTAAGCTTATCCATACCCATACAAGATCCTAAAGCCCGATCAAGAAAGGCATAAAAACTTGTTCTCACCCTAAGAATCTTCTCCCTCTTTGCTTTACGGGCATCGTCCTTATCATCCCAATCAGGCAACTGTTCATTCATTGCAGATGAATAAAAGCAGTGCCCAGGCAAATTTAAAGTAGGCAGGCTTTCCGACAATGCCCGCCAACTGCTTGACAAAATGCTAGTTCTAACAGCTTCCCTAGTTTCTACAAATGAAAGTATGTGCTGCTTAATTGAATCCGGTAGGTTAGATATTCTATCAGGTTCATCAGAGTTCGTCTCGTAACGAATCTTCTTCTTCTCCGCGATCATGTCCATCTGGCAAGTGCGCTGCTGCATCAAAACACGATTGTGTGACATGATGGCAATAGTAATCTCGATAGAGAATGGCAGAAATTATGAGAAATATAAGATTGAAAAAAATTAGGGGTTTACCTATAAAACGTTTGGGGGAAACTTGTGTTCAAAACCCTAGAAGCGCCAAATCCTTGGCGAGCAACTCAATCCACTGAAATGGAATACACGCCAAACTCTAGAAGGTATATGGTACAAGGGGTCTGAGACGAATATAATTAGTGTGATATTCATTTTAAAATAATGCAGAATTTATTTTCACACATTGATTTAATATAATTATAATATTCATGTACAAATAATGTTGTGTTCATTCTGAAACAAAACAATACTCGTTCTCAAATAAGTTGGCATTCATTCTCATTTAAATAAAATCCATATCATAAATAATTTCTTAGTTGTGCTTAAAATTGGATGGAATGTATAATATAATTTGCTGCCAAACTTCAGCTTTACGTAGTGCAGTCCATGCTTTATACGGAGTACAAGTTTTTATTGGAACAAAGAAAGTTGTTTAATTGGAAATGGTTGGGGATAATTTTATAGTAAAAGATTAGTTAAAAAAGAGACAAAAAAGCCTAATTTAAATAGGAGTACAAGTAAAAGCTTTTTTTAAAAATAAAAATCGAGTTATAAACATAATAACACGTTGTCAATTGATTTATAAAGTCAAAAACACTTACTAAGTTTTTTGACCAGCTTATAACCATATTTTTTTAACTAATTTTTTTCAGGTGAATATATACATGGTATTTGAATTGATCAAGCCTTTTCTCTATTTTATGCTTAGTTGGCATATGATAACTTAAATTTTTCATTTGTTTTACAGACTGGGTAACATAAAAATTACTCCCTCTGTCCTATTTTAAATTACCTGTTTGCCTTTTTTTTTCTCCGTCCCAAAATAAGTTGCTTGTTAGTTGTTTTCGTAAACTTTTAAAATAAAATACCTAAACTACCCCTAAAATAAGTCACTCTTCTTCACATTATCTTCTCATTCATCATCACCCTTCCTAAAAAGTAATGTCAATTTTGAAAAATCAACTCTATTTTTTATTTTTCTTAAATATGCCCAAAAATTAAAACAGACGGTTTAAATTGGGACGAAGGGAGTATAATTTAATTACACAACCGACAAACAAGTCAATTAATTATTTTTCTAATAATGGGCCGTGGGGTTGTCATTACGCAGGCCTAAAACTGTACCGAATCGCGTATTGAACTGTAGCCCACGACGCGACAACATGGAATAGCCCAATGACCGATTTTCCACCACGGCCTTCAAGGCGCGCCTAAGCGACGATCCAATATTCTTCTCTCCATCGCCGGTGCCGCCGCCAAGCTCGCTGTCGTGCCACCGGACCACGACGTCCACCTTCGTCCGCCCTCCGAGCGTCGCCATTTCCGCCATGGCCACCTTCCCGTTGACCGAATAAATCGCCTCAGACAAGTCTTGGATCAACCCTGGCCTATCGTCGCAACAAATCGTCGCTTTCATTGCCGACAACAACTCTCCACCCTCTTCGCCTCCGGCGAAGGGAGCCACCACCACCTCATCATTCTCTCCCGGCACGAATAATGATGATTCCGGAAAACCGGTGTCTTCCATCACAGCCGCCGCCATCTTCCTCAGCTCCTTCAGCTGTTTAACAGCCTCCGTCAGTACTCTCGGTTTATCCTTCTGCAAATATTGGGTGATAACATTAAGAGTTCCTCTTTTGAGCTTTTTTTTGTTGTCAAAATTATTCATTAATCATTTTTAATTTATAAGTCAACTGATCAGTGATCACTTGTTTATAAGCTGACTTTAGTCAAAATTACTTATAAATCGGTTTTATTTATTTTAAGCTAACTTTTTTTATTTTGACCAAATTGTGAATGTCTCCAGACTCCAATCACTTGAATTATAAATCATTCAAGCCATTTACTCTCACAATAGAATATTGAACTTATAAACAATTTATAAGTTCGCACCCTATAAAGAAACATCTCCATAGTTGAAAATTATTCCAAGAATATCTGAGTTTAGCGTTTATAAAATGAATCGGTGCCATTAGAAACGAGTTTATGTCATTAATCGAGTCAATCCTTGACGAATGTGCTGATTTATTATCATCGTTTACATCTATTAATTTTCATTTTATTCGTAGGAATCGTAATTGTATTGCCCATACCCTTGCAAGGTGTGCTACGTCCCATATGGTCTCATGGAGCCGTACACCACCAAGTTGTATTGCACATTTGATTTCTTATGAATGAAGTTTTTCTTGCTATCAAAAAAAAAAAAAGAGTTTCTTGAGATAAGAACTTACTTTAGGGAGATGAGGAAAGAGTTTTCTAAGAGTAGAAATATGAGAATTAATCCTTTGTCTCCGTTCGCCTTCAGCTTTGGCATGTCTATCAGCTGCTTCTTTAGATTTCTTCTTGGATGGGCAATATGGATTATTATCATGGGAGACTCCATCTTGTCTCCCAATAACACCTATGGCCTGCACCATTGAATATATTCTATCATATATATTTCCTAACGTAGTGTTGGATGAATGATATTGAAAAGAATCAATAAGGGAAAATTATGCATGAGCTTTAGTAGATTGAGGGAGAGAGAGGGGCATGTATAGTATTTATTGTGATTGGGATTTATCATCAAATGAGAGAATATTTTAGTAATAAAAGAAAATAATAGCATAATAATTGTTTTATTTGATCATTTGTATGGTTTTAATGGAAACACAGTGAATGAGAAAAATATTTTGGAAAGGCAATGTATAGTCTTTATACTTATATTGGAGACTAAAACATGGGGTCCAAATTCTCGAGTTTCAATACTAAATTTTATAGTCGGGAGATGTGATACAATTCAATTTGAGTTAAATTTTTTACTCCCTTTGCTCCCAAAATTAATTCACACTTTTTTGTCTGTCACAAAATAACATTCACACATCTCAACATTCATTTTCGCAAATAGAAAATACGCATTCTTAACAATTTCAGTCTTCCTTTTACAAATAGATCGAATAAGTTGTTCTTAACGATTAGTATCTCTTTCAATCAAACTTCAATGATCACTTTTTACTGTTTAATAATTTTTCCAACTTGGCGAAAAAATCAAACTGTGAATTAATTCAAGGAAGAAGGGAGTCAAGAGGGGACAACCGACAATGTATTCTACTCTTAAGAGAACAGAGATTTGACCAAAAAATATAAAGTTTGAAGAAACGGGATGAAACTGAAACAAACTAGAAGAAACTAAAAGAATTAAAAGAAAATGGAAGAAACTGGAATGAGCTAAAAGAAACTGAAAGAAATTGAAAGAAACTGGAAGAAAAAAAAATTAAAAATATATGAAAAAACTAGAAAAATTAGAAAATCTAAAAAAACTTCTAAATTTTTTTGTTTGTTTTTATATTATTCTCATTCTAATTATGGTTGTTATAAATTATTATTATTATTACATTATTATTATTATTATTATTATTATTTTGTGTGTTTTTATATTATTCTCATTCTAATTCTTGTTGTTATAAATTATTATTATTATTGTTATAATAATATTATACTCCCTCCGTCCCTGAGTGTTTGTCCATTTTCATTTTTACACATCATCCAATGCACTTCTTTAATTCATTTTATCTTGTAATTTGTATATTAAAAAATTATAAAAATTATATATTAATAATCTATATGTTAAGACGAATCAAACAAGATCACACATGACTATTTTTAGGCTTACACATTAAGAGAATTTGATAAGTCAAAGTGCTTAGATGAACAGTTCCAAAAGTCAAAAGTGGACAAACACTCAGGGACGGACCAAGTATTATTTTTAGAGTGATTTGTTGGAAAGTAGAATGAGATTGAAGAAAATAAAAATAATTGGAATAAATTGAAAAAACTAGAAAAAACTAAAAAAATTGTTAAAAATTAAAAAAAATCAAAAGAAATTAAAATTTAAGAATTCAAATTCTATAGAAGCTCTTAGCTATGAAATTTTGTAAAGTTAGTACTCCGTAGCAATTAGCAAACTGCAAACGGCAACAAAATGAAGGCTTCAAAAAAGGCCTAAGGCGTGTTTGGATTGACAGAAGGTCCCGTCTTTAAAAGTCCCGATGTGCTCTGCATCACCAAACCGCCTCCAAACAAACCCACAAATTTGAAATCTGACGGAGAGGGAATCCCCTGCATTTATTATTGCGTAGGGTGCTGTTTCCCCATCTCTTCATATTCAAATTTCAAACTCAAACGGTCTCCCCTCTCAGCATCCCCTGCGGCCAAAGCAATTTGCCCGTCTCCGCCGATTGGATTTCAATCAGCTCGCGGACATACACTTCGATTCGCCGGTTTTTATTCCGGTTAGGGTTTCCGGTGGCCGACCGAGCGGGATGGAGAGTTCCGATTCAAAAGATGCGACTCAGTCCGTGAGAGTCGCCGTGAATATTCGGCCGCTGCTCACTCCGGAGCTCCTCCTCGGCTGCACCGATTGCATCACCGTAGTTCCCGCCGAGAAACAGGTTCGGAGATACAATTTTATTCCATTCGTCATACACGCCATTGCTCACTGGTTTTGTTGTCTTAGATCTAACACAGCGAGTTTGGAATTAGGCTTGATCTACCTGACTGATTGGGATGTGTTTGAGCAGATAGTTTAGAGTTTCATGCTAAATCCGTCACTATGGAGTGCGTGATAGATTCAAATCTCACGGATTTATAATTGTTTTACAGGTCCAAATTGGGTCCCATGCATTCACATTTGATTATTTGTTTGGGGGCGCTGGGTGCCCGGCTTCTCGCATATTTGATGAGTGTGTTGCCACACTGGTTGAATCTTTATTTCAAGGATATAATGGAACTGTGCTTGCATATGGTCAGGTGCGGTGTTCTCTTCAATTTGATTGGACGCATTGCTTTACAATAGGTTGTGTTGTGTTTGGTTGGATGCATTACTTTACATTAGTAGTCAATTCAAATGCTTTTTGTGTACATGGCCAACAGACTGGTTCAGGGAAGACTTATACAATGGGTACGAACTATAATGGAGACGACAACAGTGAAGGAGTCATACCTAGAGTAATGGAAACTATATTCTCTAGGGTAAATGGGATGAAGGATTCAACAGAGTTTCTTATTAGGATCTCTTTCATTGAGGTAGGGGAAGTGACCTTTGGTAAATTAATAAGGAATTCATTTCTTATACTTGAACAAAGAATAAATTTGGTGAAGCACTGTCTTTGAATGTGTGGTTTTGCAGATTTTTAAAGAGGAAGTGTTTGATTTATTAGATCAAAATTCAACAGCATCTTGCAAAGGTGAAGGGGCACCACCAGCAAGGGTTGCAGCTCACGCTAGAGCTCCCATTCATATTAGGGAAACTCCTAGTGGGGGAATTGCACTTGCTGGTGTTACAGAAGCGGAGGTTAAAACAAAAGAAGAGATGGCTTCTTACCTCTTAAGGGGTGCTGTTTCTCGTGCCACAGCAAGCACAAATATGAATAGCCAATCAAGGTATTAATTTCAGTTTACCTCTTATTAATCACTATTTGTTATGCAATCGTCAATCTATCTTATTTGGTTTTGGTTTCTAATAATTTGGTGATATTGTTTTATTGGGCTTGTAGTCATCCATTAAAGAAATCTGGTCAATTTCTGTAGCATGTTCTATGATATTTTTATCTATGGCATTATTTATTGTTTTTTAATTTACCTTTCCATATTGGTAAGTTTATGAGGATAAAATATAAATACATGTGTGACCAATTTTTTTAATGAAAAAGTTTTCATAATGAAATCTCAATGGATAAAACTGGTAAACTCTTTTATAGTTATTAACATCATTGTAGCAATAGTATAACAAAATGCTAAACAAATTTGAATTTCCTATTGTAATTGCAGTCGTTCGCATGCAATTTTTACCATCTACATGGAGCAAAAGAGAACAGGTCCAGCAGCACTCGATGATGTTAGTGGTGACATTTTATGCGCAAAGCTTCACTTAGTTGACCTTGCCGGTTCTGAGAGGGCAAAGCGGACTGGAGCTGATGGAACACGTTTACAGGAAGGTGATAAACTCTTACTTGAAATGTCTGCATATGTTTTTTTAAAGTAATGTATTGCTATCCACATAGATATCTGTTGTTTATATTATCTATCATAGTTAGTCTTCTTAGATGCTTCATTTATATGCCTTGTTATTGATTGATTGCTTGAGTTCATATTCTGGTTTTCATTTGGTGTAGGAATTCATATCAACAAGGGGCTACTTGCATTGGGAAATGTAATTAGTGCCCTAGGGGATGACAAAAAGCGAAAAGAATGTGCACACATTCCGTACAGAGATAGCAAGTTGACTCGTTTGTTACAGGTCACTTTTTCTTGCATCTTTGTCAAATGTGGAAGTGTACTATCAGTTTGTCACTCTATCACTCATTTTGTGGGTATTTGTTTTCAGGACTCTCTGGGTGGAAACAGTAAAACCATTATGATTGGTATGTTGTATAAGCTGGATTTTAATATTAATGAGGAATTTGCGTTTGTGTAGTGATATTGTAGGAATACTTCAATTGTAATGGTCACAAGAAATATTCAATGCTAACTTTTTCTTATTATTTTTGTGGTATTTTTTTGGGTGCTTGGATGAAGCTTGTGTTAGTCCTGCGGATACCAATGCAGAGGAAACTCTCAATACATTGAAATATGCCAATCGGGCACGTAACATTCAGAACAAAGCAGTTGTAAGTTTCAGTTTTTTATGAACACGCATACAGATTTTATTTG